TAATAATATAATATAGTGTTGTCTTCACGTTTGCTGTTTATCGACTTTCGTAATCGTTGCCGTTATCGATAAAATATAATGACAATAAATGTATGAATATAAGTATAGAGCATACACGTCACACAATAATATTTTATTCGACCGCAATTAGTAGGACACGAGATTACACGATAACGGATTTTGGGTATTTTAAAAGTTGTTTATAATTATAGTTCATACAAAACGATTGTAAGCTCACAGTGAGACGTTAGTTATAGTGTTACGTTAGAAATAACATAAAAATGGACATTCGAAATTTTTTCAAAAAACCACGGCTAGAAAATGATGAGATAGTAAGTACATTAAAATTAATTATAATTTATAAATATAATTTATTTATTATTTATTAAAAAAATGATTTGTATTTTATAGTAGGTGTTGTTCAAAAACACATTTAACATAGGTACTTACAAAATTAATAATAAATATAAATATGTTATAATACTATTTGCTAATTATTGATGTATCTATGTTATAAATTTTTTTTTTCAAAACACCCCCCATTCTGAAATCCTGCGCACGGGCCTGATTATAATAGAACCTATTCAGAAGCCCAGCATAAGTTGTAGCTTAAGAAAATATATCACCGTTTCGGCATGCATGCTTACTGCCTAGTGCCTATGTACTAATTACTAATTAGATAGGTAGGTACTACAGAGGGTATGAATTTATAGATTAAGTGTCAGGAATTTAGTTAGAGTTTTCATTTGTATTTTATAGAATAATTGGAGTTTTTTTATTTTTTTTATTGAGATACATAAAATTAAGTGTCATTATTATAATAGCTGGTAATATATTTAAGTTCAGGCTAGCAATAAAAGTCAAATCATTGTCGGACCACCAGTAGACTGAAAATTCAAACCTAATTAGATCTAACAGTTGACCTATAGAAGTTATTTTATCTTGTTTATTCAATGTGTTACATAACCTATTAAGCATAGAGATCACAGTTTCCGTCTTCAGGGACATTCTGGCCAGGTTTATAGTTGTTAAAATTTGTTATTATAGTTGACATTTCTGTTTGTATTATAACAGTTATACCTTGATTCTAATTTATTAAGGAGGCTGGAGCACAGCATGTCTTAAGGAGTAGTGTTTAGGCATTTCATGTTACATGCACATTTTTGTTGTGTCAATATGTGAGGAGTAAATGAATATTAGTGTAAGTAATCCGTTATCGTCTATTCAATACAGAATACGAATTCAGTATCATTATTGATGTCTTTGTTAATGTTAAAATTGCTAGAGCATAATTCTGTTTTATGATTAAAATTATCGTCAATGTTGCTAAGATGTTTAATTTATTTATTATAGTGGTAATGAACATGTATTAAATTAATGACCTTTTAATATTCTCTTATTTTCCAATTAAATGTTATATCATTTGTTGTTTTGTGACAAAGAAATAATTATTTATTATAATTTTGGAGTTTTTAATAAATAAATTGCTTTATCATAGACGAAATTCGTTTGTCTAGTCCAGCTGCTATAATGGGAATTGCGGTTTTATAATCATGTAATTTATTCATGGTTTTTTTTTAAACTTGCAAAGGTGATTCTTATATTTCCATAAGAAGGCTTAAGAAAATATTGTTGTTTTGTTATTAAGTAATAAATTGTTTTCATTACTATATTTATTGGAATGCCTTCACCTACCATAGGTTTTAATGTATTTAAGTGAGCCGTTTTTTTCTCCAAATTTATTTTTCATTTGTGCAATCACCTTTGCTCAATTCTGTGAAAATACAGTGATCTATTGATTATGCACTGTTTGTTTGAAAAATATTTTTACATCTTCTTTAATATTATGCACATTGTTGCTATTATTAATGTTATGAGTTTGTATTACTATAATATCATTATAAGTTTCGTTAATATTATTATCTCTATGCAATCTTCAAGAGCTATTTTTTTAGTCAACATATTGGATTTATATTGACATTAAAACGTATTTCCAATTATTATATGACAAGATAAAATTTTTTTCACTGGATCATCCGCTTATGCCACCAACTGTTCTATTATATTTCTTTATAAATGTTTCAATGTTTTCGGAAATTAAACAAAAAATGTATTTGGATTATAAAATGGATTTTTTATGTTGTCCATTCTGTTTGAATAAAAAGTAGGTAGGTATTGATAAAATTGTTTGCTTCCGATTTTCTGTTAAGGTATTGTGTCAGTCTATTTTTTAATTCGGGAACTGCATGTGCCCGAGGTGATTAGATTTCTTTTGATAAATTCAGTTATTGATATTGAGGTTTTAGTAATTTATTGACATATTTTGAAAGGAGTGTTTGTATTAAATCATCACTAAGTTTATCTGAGTGTATAGTTTCGTCAATCTTTTGTTGTTTGATAGGGTAATTAGATTTTTAAATTTTTATTTATTTTTTTTTTTTTCTTGCGTGTTACGACTTACGAGCCATGAGTTTAATCACTACTCGTAGTTAAAGTAAAAATATTAGTTGTGAGCAAAATACAAGTATTTCTTTCTTTTTAATCATAATATATGGTTTATTATGTATGTACCAATACTACATATACACTCTAGTTTACTACATTATTATAAATATATATATATAATGAATTATATAGTAAATTAACTCACCCTAATTCAACTGCAGACTTGTTATATATTCGATGAGCGAAGGAAGAAGAAATAGATTTAATATTGATTTGCTTATAATTTAATATGAAATATGAATAATAAAAACGATTAATGCATCGGAAGTATTTAAAAGAATATAGGTTTTTATCATTCAAAGATACAAAATAGTATATTGAACAATACATTATAATATAGCTCATCACGTATGACTGTAAACATGGGCATACGCAGGGAGAGTGTTATTGTCCGGATTGAGCAGATGGCGGATACTCGATGGATGTCGTTCGAGGCTTCGAGTCGATAGAGTAGGATGGGGCAGTTTATTTAGATAAAACATAAAAATGTATTATGACCACATATTATGTCTACATTTTAATATAAATATCTGTATGATTGTATATACAATATGATACATTTAAAATAATGATATACATTATAGATTATAATTATGTCACTTTTGTAGTCTTGTTAATTGTTTCTTATTAGTTAAAAAGAGTGGCTATCATTACAATTACAAATGTTGAAAAATATGTAATAGCTGTTTTAATGATTAATGTCAAAGGGTATAATATATTAATGTCTAATGAGAGAAATATTGATTGTAATTTATTATTGAAGTAATCATTTGCTCTATTTTATTGTATCAACAAATAACAACATTATAATAATAATCATTAGTAATAATTACTCACTAGGTACACATTGGTTAAACATGGGTCATTAATTATCAAGATACATATTTGATTATCTAATCAGTGAATACTGAGTAGTGAGTATTAATATGTAGGTACCTATTATCTAAAACCTATACATCGACACATTGTACTATAACGATAGTAGTTAGTTACTGAGTAAATACAATTATCTGATTGAATTCCATCA